AAGAAGTTGTTTGTTATCGGCGATAAATTAGCAGCTTTGTGTTTATCTGAAGTGTCACTGTTTGATTGCGAAAGTGCTGAGTAGGGGTCTTGGCGGATAAACAGCTCACCATTTTCGTGTTGCTTGACGGAGAGCGGCGAAATATTACTCAACACTTATACTTCAACTGTGATTTGCGTTCTTTGGAAACCTTCTTACGTAAGTTTATTGCCTTCTATGGAGCGTGAAATATGTGCATTCGAGACAGTCACTTCCCCGTCTTGTTCTCTGGATTTTTTCCTTTTTGTGTGATTTAGTTTTTCCCATTTTAGCAAGTTTTTGTTCAATCAACGATAATGTTTTTGGAATATTTGCAATATCAATGTTATGATTCCCAGATAATCCTTTCTTCATAAATTTGTCAGGAAATCGAAGTGTTGGGCTTCAACTGAGCGTTGGGACCATGAATTGGGAAAGGCATAGTTCACTATTAAAAAAAGCTGTCTGAAATTCCTTTCTAGGATGAATCTGTGGTCCCCAAAGAGCGCGTATGGTATTGTCTGGCCGGAAAACGACCTCGACGGCGTTAAGAGCTACAAAGCTGGCTTGGCCGGCGTACACACCCGAAAATGGCCGTGTTATGTTACCTTAAGGCTGCGCCATGCACCATAAAGTCAGGTTGTCGAATTATAGTACGCTTATATGTGAGACACCCAGACGGTTACAGACACATAATCTCGCAGAAACCCCTTCTGGCTACTATTTTCAAACCTCATATTTTTTAAAATCCTAGAATTTCGCAACAAATTGTTCAAATCCGCTTCCTTCTACATTTTTGCGTTATTCTCCCCCACAGCTTCCATTATTTCACTTACATATCTAGATACCTCGAAATTGTCGTGAACTGTGCCTTTTGCCTTCAAAGATAATAGTTCTTTTCATATCTGATAATCTCTTCGAACATTTTGTCTGTAAGAGGATCTTAGATGTATGGTCAGGGTTCGTTGAGTTCGCTTCCCTTGATTTCCAAGCTCCTCAAGTTTTCAAGATTCCTGCTATTGGTTCTCGTCTGATTTCTTCTCATTATCCTGTAAAACTCGCCCAACGAACTCTAGTTTTCCAGAGCAATGACGGCTGAAGTGCGAAGGGATTCATTCAAGACGTTCTGGGACAAGTACTCAGATAAACCTGACACTAATTCAATGATGCTCAACCAGACTGCACAAGATCTTGAAGCTAGCGATAGGTAATATCATCCAAAGTTTCTTATGTATTATAAAAATTATTTTTGAAATTTGCTTCATTACCTGCCCGCTTGTCGATATTGCTTCTGTTGATGTTTAAATGATCACTATTTTGTGAAACACACGCGCGCGGTTGCGGCGCGGTACAAGTCAAGGTTATCGCTCTGTGATCTTACACTATTGATGTCAGTAGAGTATATGATAACTGTGGATATTTATTGAGGGTGGAAGAAATAATCCTTATAGCTTATTGTTATGAATATAAAGAAAAATATAAAGAACGCAATGCATTGTGTCTTGTATGCCTAAAAACTTGTTTTTTCAGAGCAGATATCCTGTCCAGCCTACCTCACCTAACCAACAAAGATGTGGTCGATATTGGCGCTGGAATCGGGTAGGGATTTTCTCATCACTGCTATTTGGATTGTAATCTTTCTTTTCTTTTCAACCTTTAAACTCCATCGCTATTGTGGACGATAATTATTCCTAACCATGGGTATCTCATCCAACTGGGAGTCATACTCAAGATAGGTAATACATTATCCTTGAAAGATAGCACGTGATTCAGGGGGATTCCTCTAGTTAGTCCCGCAGAAGGACAAAAAAGAATGGAGTTCATGAGAAATGCTCTTACGTTTGATAGGGAAATTGTAGCAAGGGTCTTGGGAAGGGTCTTGCTAAATGGGAATGATATGAGATGTGTAAAGTGAACTCCCAGAGATTTAGGATTTGAATACCGGTCATTTGCCTTCAATTAATAGGATCGCAACAGCTAGCCCTTTTTTGAGGGAATCTTTTTTTGTTATTGGAAAAGCTCAGACTTTTAAGATCCTTAGGATCCTGTGTGAAAAGTCACTTTTTCTCAACATTTTTTTGTTACAAAAAGATTAACAAAGCACGTCAGATCTAAATATATCTCGATCCATATTGATGACATCTCTATATCTTTGCACGAAAAATGGATTGCTCTCCATAGAGATCTCTTTCGGCTGCATCATCGAAGGAGCTGAACGCCCACATTTTGACATCGCTGCTTGACCGTTATAAGTCGTGGACGGACAGCGCATGGGGCAGAACTTCCCAACCAATTCCTCTAGTTGCTGTTGAACAGCTTTCGCGACATGATGTACTAATGGGTTGTCGTGCAGGAATACTATAGAAGCTGAATTAATCTCTTGACAAAATGAGGTTTGTCCTGTTCGGGCGAGCTGAGTGAGAATAGTTCAACGTAGACGAAGTGAGTCACACTGAACACTTGAACTTGAACAAGTACGGCTATAATCTTCCATTAAAAACAGCATAGCATAACCTTGTTTTAGTAGATGCCTAGTTCCTAATGTGGCCTCGGTGGTTCACCTGGTGATGGTCACTGCCGTTTTTCCACTGCGTTACCGGAGCATCCACCTTTTACCCAAGAACAGTTTGCAGTCAAACGACCTTCTGTTCGTGGAGCTGCGAGATGGAATTCCGGCAGTGATGACGAGCAGTGCTTTGTTAGCATCACCTAGTTGATTGGGGAACTCATATATTTTGCTGGTAGGACTTTCTAAATGCATATAAATAGTTCCATAGTGCTGATGGTGCTTGATGGTGCTTAAGAAGTAGTCGATTCTCTATGCAAGTTCTTTGGTAATCTGGCGTGGGCCAGACTTGATGGGTGCCGTAATCCTTATTACAAACAAGTTTAGGTGAATGCCCTAACCTACGTCCCAACGCTCTCAATTCCATCCCATTAGTGCTATCAGGAGTCTATGCCATAGCATTGCCTCAAGTATGATACGACAATGCTGGAAGCTTCGCTCAGGGTTTGGGATTCAGCTGTTACGTGCAAACGATGTTACTGATCAAACATCTCGAATGGAATGTTCGGCATGATAACCTATCGCTCACTGTTAGGTAATAAATTGTAGCATGCGCAAGGACTTGCTCTGTCGTAGGGGTTTTCACTCATCTTGAAAGGTTCCATTAAAACAGTAGTTGCTGAATATGTGTGAGCGACATTTCATATCGGCCAACCTAACATGACAGGCGAACATTAAAAAGCCCAGGGCAGGTATGATCAATTTTGCGTTGTCACTTTGAAAAACGGGCCTAGAAAGGACGTAATAAGGGTCAGGGTTCAACTAAAAAGGAGAGGAAGAATGTTCGAATCTGTTGTACTCGTAATTGGCGATTGCCGGGTCAAACGGTCTTCTAGAGGCGTAGGTGCCGAGCGGATAATGGTATTAATACAGTAGTACTATTTCTTTTCCCTCACACTGTCAGCAACTAGGGCAAGTTTGTCGGAACCCGCTTTTTCGCGGTCATGTTTTGTGAAATGCTGAAATCGTAGTGTTTAAGGCTACTAACTAGCGCACTACTCAGTGTCAACTCTTTAAACCCGTGAATCTCCAACCCTATCCCATATCCTCTTTAGTTCTGCCTCTTTTCACGCTCAAAGTACCCGAAGGATGAAGAGTTTTCATTGCTTCTGGTTTGGACTTCGTGATAACCGGATTGAGAACAATTTTTCCCTACCATTGGTTTTGGATATTATCTTCTTAGTCCATCCTTCGTGGTTCGTAATTCCTAATCATGCCGGAAGTGTTGGCAAGCTGATTGAGTAGGCAAAATAGTATAGGTGAAAGATATCTCCGGAAAGAGATACATAAGCAAAATTGGTTTTGACTTGATGTTTTGTTAGCTGCTGTTATATCGCCGTAGTACGCGTCCCGAAAGTCTCACAAGGTTGGCGATTTATGGACAAAACTTCAGTCTCGGGTGGTACTCGAAACCGCACTTGTCCTTTCCGGGGACCGTGCTCTTATCCCCCACACTTCCAAGAACCCACTTGCCCTCGCCTTCTTGATGGCTTTCAGCTCATCGGTTCAGTGCTGATTTGGCCGACCGGCTCAACACGTTGTACGTGTGAGTGCTGATAAGCTATGGCATATAAGCCAAAAAAGGCGAGCGCAGGGGTCTCGGTAGCGTAAGGGATAAGAGCACGGTCCCCAGAAAAACAGGTACGGGTTGGAGTCCCGTACGAGACTGAAGTTTTGTTCATGAATCGCCAACCTTGTGAAATGAGCAAAATTAGATATGTATGGTCTTCCGAGGTTTCCAATTTGTTTTCCGTAAGTATCGACGGTTTCGTTCAGGCGCTTCACCACAGTTCTAGCAGAAACAGCTCGATGGGTTCTTTCGACGGATTTCATCGAATCGTTCATCGAAAAAAATCAAGAACGAAATGCTCACATGGGCAACATCAGTTATCAAATAGGAGACGCAGTCCATTTGCAAATGGACGAGAAAAGGTGCGTTACTGTCAATCCCTTCCCATTTATCTACTCTTCACAGCAAAAATCTTTATGACTATTGAGTTGCAGCGTGGATCTCGTTTTTACGAATTGGCTGATGATGTACCTCTCCGATCGGGAAGTCATTGAATTTCTGCTGAATGCTATGCGATGGTTGAGAGCGGACGGATACATTCATCTCAGAGAAAGCTGCTCCGAACCGAGCACGGGTTAGATTTGCTTGCATACATATAGCCTTATGGACCGTGGAATCCCGGGTCAATACCCGTCTAGGTGAATCAAAACTTCCATTCCCGGCGTCGGTTAATTGCTACCAGACTCGCCAGGGACGAAAAAAAACACAGACTTGTACATCGCCGGGCTAAGTCAAGCGTTTATATGCACCACATACGCATTCAAAGCGCCACTACAATTTTGATTGGAAGTAGAGTGCGGGGCGTATCTGAAAAAGGGGAGTGATTGTGGTTAAAAACTTCAGATTTCTGAACTTGATTCACGAGTTCTGAGCGATTATAAGTAGCGAGATCACTTATATATTATTCAAAGGATAGAGTCTATGGGCGTTCATAAGTCCGCCCGTGGGATGCGTCCTCGCAATCGACTTCCATTCAAAATCGTAGTGAAGTAATGAATGCGTATGTGGCCTAAGCAATGACTTGCGATGTACAAGTCAGTGCATTTTCCTCCCAGACGAGTTTAACACCAATTAACCGACCTTGGAAGTATGCAGGCTAGGTTGGCTTGGGGGGACATCGATCGGTGATTCGTACCCGTGATCATGCAGCAGGGTGACCTTGCCACTACACCACCTACTTCCGATCACTTTTATACCGTCCAAGAAGTGAATACCATTTTAGGTGTGAGTGTAGTCAGCAGTGGAAGGACGGCGCTGAACCTCTTTTCCACCATAGTGAATATTTTCAGGCCGTCTGAAGACCGCCACGATGCACTCAGCCGTTGACGCCAACCCAACACATTACCGTTTCTCATCACTGTATATTAAGGTAATTCATAAACGTCTGATCTGCTTTTTGGTCAGGCCAATGCCCGAACATGTTGCCAAGTCAATAATTTCTATTTGTAAAGCTTCTTCGAGCAATCCGATACCGGGACAGTGATGGAAAAATGTGGAAATTTGATGTGCAGTGGAGCTGCTCGGTGCCCACCTACATACGGGTAAGTGAAACTGTTTCATCTTATCGATGTCTCTTCAGAAATAATTTTTATAATAACGGCATTATTAGTTATTCTCGTAAGCAAATTGTGAGAACTGAGATCCCTGATGTACCGACTTGAAAATGATATTCAATCCCTCAGTGAAATGACTCGATCATCGTGGGTAGCGGGTTCAAATGGAAATATCAATGCTAAGCAAATCAGCGCTATGAAACAAAGAAAACTAGAGAACTCGATAAGCTATGTCTTACTAACTGAAGTTGAATGACGAACCAGTGCTACGCTCGGGTGAGGGAAATGTACGTTTGGGCAGATTGACATTATGATGTCAAAGAGCGTTCAATTATTGTTGCCATAATTCCACATTGTAACTAAGGTTAAGCCTGATTCAATCATTCCAACAGTGATCACCACTTTTCCGCAACATAGTTAATGAATCGTTGAAGGGCAACCACGATTGTTGCAAATCGTTATCGACTGATATCGTAGGGCCTAAAGACAAAGGTCACAACAATTTTGAAGTAACTTTTTCGATGAAAAGTGGAATTTTGGTGAAAATAAAGCATCAGTGTCGAAGAAAGCGAGAAGTTCTGGAGACCTTGCGAAAAGTAAGGCTCCCTAAGTGTAGTGAAGGTAAAGGCTGCACGAGATTATCATGACGAAAATGGTTTGAAAGGGGTGCTTGGAGTGCTTGGACGAGATTTAGTTGTTGCAAATGCGTAAAAAGCTGTGATTGCATTAGACCGAGGAGGACGTTTAGAACAAATCACTGTCATTGCCGCCATAGGAGACAACCAATTTATCCACCTTCACATATTATGACATATTTCCAACTTGGCTGTCTCTGAAAGGATGCAGCCAACAAAACTCGTCCGCCTCTGGGTGTGGCATACGGCGTACAATCCTTGAGCTCGTATAATGTCTTAAACACCCTGTTTTGCGATCTGACAGTGCCACATATGGTGTACAGTCGAGCCACAGATACATACAGGGGAATATTTCAGGAACCATTTTTGTAGTGAACAGTGCCTTTAACCCATTGACGACTATGCAGTCCACATGTGGACTGCAGTTGTACTTTTTGTTTTATTCATCTTAATTTCGACTTTCTTTCAATTTTTCTTCTCAGAACATTACATCAGGCCTAAATGAAATTACAAACAACGTGGTCCTAGAAAAACTTTTAATTTTGCAGTTGTGAAGGTGTTTTTTCGAAGGAGTACATCACCTTGATGAATTTTTCGTTCGTTGAACAACTTCAAAAAATGAGATATTTTGGAAAGACGGTCGTCATTAGAATGACCAAATGCAAAGCTCGTAAAAATCCCCCGAAACGATTTCTGGTAATGATTAACCCATTGACGACCGCGCCTTTCACATTGTCCTTACCTTAACTTTTAATTTCTCTTATAAGTTTAGTTGGAAGTGAATAATTCCTGGATCACGATGCCTCAAGATTCTCTAGAAGGTTGTGAACTCAGGTGATACTTGAAAACATGAAAAAATTATAAGAACACGTGATAAATAATAAAAATACTACAGGAGTACGGTATGGTATGGCCCGCCGGCGGGCCACGCGGTCGTCAATGGGTTAAATGTGCTGTCAATATTCATTGACCACCCTGTTCTGACTTCTCACTCTATTACTTGTATTTCTAATCACTTTATGCAATTGCTCTAGGCAGAAGAGAGTTCAGTGATGATTTCTCAATCGATCACGCTATCGATTGATCAGAATCACCAAGTTGAACAATGATCTATCGTGTTACGATCTAAGCTGTGTAAGCGCTATTGCTAGCACCATACCAACCTTCCTTTTGAGCTTTCTCCAGTATGTTATTACCTCAAGCTGCAAAGGATTTTGCTTACCTGCATCATTAGCATTATCAGGAACAGACAGGCATGCTTAAAATCCGGCAAACTGACTAATTGACAGACCGACAAAGAAACCTTCACGCAAACCTACTGCTTTCTAATAGGAAGGATCGTGAAAGCTGTTTCTGACCAGGAAGACAGCTGTAGTAAAATAAATAACGAAATATGGTTAATAGAGATTGCAAAAATTATATTGGTACTAAGAAAACTCTCTTTCTAACTCTTCAGAGGTGCAATAACTGGCGTCAAGTACATTGGTTGACGAAGAAGGTACCGGCAGTTGGCGACGAAGAGACTTCAGTCGACGATTTGCTCAACTTGTTCAGGTTTGGGGCAGATCCCCTTTATGAAAGTATAACACCTCTATTGTGATGATGAATAGCTCATTTCCAAGCCCTGAATGGTAGAGCCCGTCCTTTCGGTCGGGGAATGAGTAATCAGGGCGAATATAAGTTGCCCCCTCTTTATTTTTGTCTTTCTTCTATGGCTACTTATTGGTTGGTATCCCTGGTTGAACGACAACTGGGCGCGAACTTTCTTCACCTCTATTAGCACACTCTTCAAGCGCAATGAAGTAAATGAAAAAAACCAAGTGTGAACTGTCTGCTACACTTTCGCTTCTGCCCATTTTCCGTATTGTACCAGCTTTCGCCCATAATTATAATAGTAGGTCTACCTGGTTACGAAATACATCTCTAATATTTTGTTCGCAATCAGATAATACAGTTGCAATTGAAGTTTTTTCAGCCAGATCTGGCCAGCCGAACAGAAGAAGTGGGATGAGAAACTAGACAATGAGAAATACAGTTGGACTGATAAGGTTAGCACGCCTGATTTCGATGACTAATTGTAAGAAACGAATACATAATATGAATGGGAATGATTGTTACGAGACTCTGGGTTATTGCTGAATGCATCACCAGCTGTTCAGATATTTTCGAATGCGATCGATGAAGAAGTGGTGCCGAAGAACAGTACCGCCTATGTCTTCACACCGAGGCAACGATCCCCCTTCTTGCACGTTAATTCGCACCTTCTAGCAGAGGTAGGTTGCAGCAGTTGAATTTCCATATAGTCACATTCCTCTCAAAAGTTGAAACTTATCCGTAGGTGCGAGAGACTAACACGAAAAAATGATATGAATTCTTTGTGACTTCGAGGAATGTAGTTTACAAAGAATGGTCTGTCTTCGTAGCAAACGACATGACTTGTGCCGTATATAGCATTCTGCACTTTCAGACCATTCAGGACTGCACCTCTGGGGTTCAAAATCCTGCAGTTTGAGGCTCATAGCTTTCCTATCCACTTAGATCAATTTCAGAAGTTCACATGCAATGTATGGAATGTTGAAACAAAGGAGTATTTGTATCGCACCTCACTGACGAAGGCAAACAACCAGAAGGACCAACGAGTCCGGTGAGTTGATCTTCTGAAGCCGCTTTTCGTTGGCATTGATCGCTTTATGAATGTTCCGTTGATAGAACACTTTAAGCTTTGGTTGGAACGATTCGTTGTCTTCGTCGATTGATTACTGGAATCAGAGGGACGCTTCATTTGACTGCATGGTAGCAACTGAACTT